TTCTGTACAAAATTATTCCCTTTGACAGTTGCTTTCTATTTAAATTCTTGACGCGATATTTGTAGGACAGAGTTGATTGATTACCAATATATCGCTTATAATATAAATTCTTCGTATCCCCCCAAAAAAAAAAAACAGTGCAGAATGAGAAAATTTTCCTGTAGAAAATTATTCGAATAATCGATAACTCCTCTTGCAACGACTGTGTTCTCTTAAAATTCCCATCGATTTATAAAGTATAAAGATTCGTGGTTTCGTCGTTCGTTCTTCTCGACGTTTGTAGCGCAGAATTGTCTAATTACCAAAAATTCATAAGACAAATTCTTCGTTTTTTTTCACTACTTATATTCCAAAAAAGAACAAATGCCGAATGTCGACTTAAAACGTGAAGTTACTCCTCATACAAAATTGTTTAAACAAATCGATAATACCCCTTAAATTTCCCACCAATCAGTAAAGTACAAAGATCCGTGGCCTCGCGAAAGATTATTCGAAAGACGATAAAATCATAGGCGTTCCAGTTCCCTATCCTAGCGATCTGGATCAAAGGAAAGAATTCATCTCGAACAATGCCTGTTTGTGGTCGAAAGGGACGATGTTTTAATACCAATCACGTACACGACGGGGAGACATCGATAATGCGTATCAAGTGTCATGTCTTAGTTCATCCTCTGTGTACTTTACTTACCATCGACGCTCCTCATCGATTTTCGATTATCACCGTCTCCACAATGAATATTCCTAAAGGGATTGGCGTGAACCGACGGAAACGATTACGGGGGAACGCGAAGGAAAGTGATAAAAAGGTTTTACACGCGAAAGAATCATTCGCGTAACGTTCCGTGTTCCACACTTTTTATCTGCTTTTATCGCTGTTTTTTTTTCTTTTTTTCTTTTTTTTTCTTGTCCAAGTAAGAAAACGAAACGAATCACAGTAGACGAGCTTCTCGTTTTATTTTATTTATTTTTTTTTTGTCACCTTTATTTTTAAATATTAAAATTGTGTAAAATTCTTTATAAATAAAATGTGTTCTCAACTTATAAATCAAATGTGTTGGAACAATTTTTTTTTCAATCGTTTTTGTGTATTTGTATCTATCAAATTTCTTTCTAAAGTGTGTTCTCAACTTATAAATCAAATGTGTTGGAACGATTTCTTTTTCAATCGTTTTTGTGTATTTGTATCTGTCAAATTTGTTTCTATCTGCGTCGCCTTTCTTTGTCGTCCAAGTTGAGAGAATGAAACGATTCACAATAGACAAGCTTTCTATTAGTTTTGTTTCTCATTTTTTCCTTTTTTTAATTTTTTTTTTTTGTCATTTTTATTTCTAGATACGAAGAAGAATTCCGTGTCTCTATAAATGAGATGTATTCTCACACGAGATAAGTTCAATTGTTTGTAGGTATTCTGTGTATTTGTCTTTCGGATAAATTTCTTATCTCCATCGCTTTTTTTTCTTTTTTGTCTTCCCAAGTCGTTCACAGCAGACAAGTTTCCCATTTTATTTCTCATTTTCATTTCTAAACGTAAAGTCTAACATCTATTCCGGCGAATTTTCTACAAATGAAACGTATTCTCAATATTATAGTTGTCTCTCGGGTAAATAGCGATTTATTAACGAAACGTCGAACCTCGTGGTAAATTAATTTTCGAGTGACTGACTTTTAAATTAATAACGACGGTCTGTGTGTCACTTCGAATTTCGAAATACGGCCCGGCGGTGTTAGCGCGTCGCGTCCGACTTGAATTATTTATCACCATAGCAATTAATTACGCGAAGAAGCACCAGCTGTACCCGTCGCGCAACGGACGATCATTTTTTAATGTATTGGAAATGAATTGAAACCATCTGGCTAATGGCAAACGAAACGAAAAATTGCGATTGAAATGTTGATGCCTCTCTCTCGTATTATATTAAACGCATCCGTTGTGTTAATAATTTGCGATGTAAACACTTTTTATACATTTGTACGCGAAACATCCTTGAAATTACGTTTAACGACGTTTCTCAATGCGTTTAATGTAGTTGAACGTTGGTGAAGTCGTATTATCGTAAATGCAAGATATATATATAATTTCGCGATGGAAAATATTTAAATCGTCGAAAATATTTCCTACGTTTGAAATCTATTTTAATTCAACATCGAAGTCGCAATCATTTCTTTCTATAAGATCTATAAAAACTATTATTTTTCTATTTAATATGAAATTTAAATTAATATTTGATTGGGAGATTTTAATTGTTAAAAACTTTGATTAAAGAAAATGATTTCATCTTTCTAATTCAAAATCAACACAATAAATTACCTTGAGGGAGAAACAGCGTTATTTTTTTTTTTTTTATAGATCTTGTAGAAAAAAATGATTGCGACCTCGACGTTGAATTAAGATAAATTTTAAACGTAGATACATAGATTCGAAATGTACTTGCCTCGGACATTCGGCGGGATTTCAAATAATTTTGGAATTTAACATCAGCGGATTGTGTGAATTTCCCAAAGAGAAAAGGAATTTTCCAAGGCGTAGATTCTTCAATTGGCCGAAATTTATTCGCGGTATTAGAATTTATCTCCACGACGAGATTCGAAAAAAATCCTGGTGGCAGCGTTGCGCCGAAACTCGGCGAAGCCTGACCTCCTTTCACCGTCGTAACCGAGATCTTGTCAAAAAGCGATCTTACCAAAAAGGAAAAAAGAAAGAACGTTAAACGAGCGTCCGTTTGAGCAGAGTCTGTATTTTCCGACGAGACGTAGCGTTTCCCGGCAGAGAGAACGAGAAACGGTGTCTTTTTTTCCTACTCGTCGCCTCGCGTTGTCGGTGGAACAGGAGAGCGTGCGAGGGATAATTGAAAGCGAGACGAGAATAAAGAGATCGAGAGATCGAGAAATCAAGAGAGTGTGAGAGAGTGAAAGCAGAGGAATGAAAGGGCACGAACGAGAAATAAAGTAGTAAAATCGAAGAAAAAAAATCTGATGAACACGAATGATGAAGTGAACAGCACTGTATATTATTACAATTATTTATTATTGCGACATGTTCGTTGACTACTTACGTTAGAAATAAAAAAAAAAAAAAAAAACACTACATTGAGAAACTGGCCGAGTAAAGTGAATGTTCGACGAGAGGGGAGTGGAATCTCCACTTTTCCACCGTGAGATCTGCCTTGTTCTCTCCACTTTTCACACTTCTTCAACCCCTATCGTTCCATCCCCCATTCTCGCTCTTCGCAGTCGCGGGAACAACAAGGTGGAAGCGCTCTTTGGGCACTCGAGCCGGAAGAAAAGCGGAACACAAGAGACGACGACTATGGCTGAAGCGTGGGAAGTGAAGGAGGGAAACCGCTTCGAAACACAATATTTGCCGTTTCTTCATCGTTCGCCCACTCGTGGACGATCCCACGAGTTCTCGAGTGCTCGATCACTGCCGTTCGGTGTCACCGGCCTCGAAACTGCCGGGCAGCTCGCTCGTTCTTCGCGAATTATTCGAAGGGCGAGAGGCTCCTGGCTGAAGAGGCGAAAGCTTTCGAGCAGGAGACCTCGCGAATGAATATATATTCCTTCCGAGCAATTTCGCCCTCTCGGGTCGTTGTTTCGCGTCAGTCCTCCGATATTTCCTTCCCCCGATCGAGCCAACCGTTCGGAAACAGTAATAAATTTTATCGTCGCAGAGGGGTGACGAAGGGACGGGATCGTTGGATTCTTCTCCGCGAGTTCACGAGGAGTTCTCGCGAGAAGGGATAGGAATCGCTAATTGATCAAAGACACCCGAGAAAGCGTGCGGGCGAGATCGAAACGTTGAAACACGAAAGCAACGGCAGAAGTTAACCCCTTCAAGGACATTGACACATATGTGTACGTTCAATTCTTTTTTAATTAAAATTATTAAAAAAAAAAAATGTTAAAATCTGTTGGAGAATTATACAGAATTTCTCAACGATAAAAACGAAAAACTTGTCGCACGATGATATTTCAAGCAGCGATAATATTTTATTCTACTCGATACTGTCACTGCTGTTTAACCTTTTGCGCTGACGTGTCACGCACGTCGAGAATTTTTTGTTCCAAAATTGTAATATATTTTCTCAGCTTTAAAGTATATTTCAGTGAAACGAAATGCGCAGAAAGCAAATGATAAATTCATTACCTTCTCGATAAGGGCGAATTATTGTATACGGTGTTGGTCACTCGTTATGGTCCGCAATCAGTTGCCAGCTCAAGTGGTCAAATACTGCAACATTGGTCGCCATTGATCGAAGTTCGTTTGATTATTCGAAGAATATCGTTGACATTTGATAAATAAAATACCAGGTGTGTAAAATATAGTCAGTTCCGATGATTCGAATGAATTCTATTCATTCATGATTGGCCATCAACGTTCAACGGTCGCACATGGTGGACATTATTTTTTCTTTTTTCGCCCGTGTATATTTATTTTTTATGGCTCACTGAATTACTGCCGAGTCAAAACCTAATCAAACAAAAAAATTGAACGATTTTTTTGGCACTTTAAAAAAATTCGTCCCTCGAAGAGGTTAAACACTGTTTCGGCAACTTTGCAAATTTCGTTTCGACGGTCGCCATTGTCGTTGCCTGGGAGAGTTTGTCCGCCGCGGGATCAACGGTGATTCGAGATGAATCGGTGAGAGAGCATTCCATTAAGCAATTGGGAAGATCGTGTTTTTTTTTCCGAAACAATGCGTCGCTGGGAAAATGGTGGAACAGGGGAAACGGGAAAATCAATATGTAGCTCATTGTTTGAAGGCTTCTGCCCCATTCGAGCTCGCGTTTATTCTTTCGTCTAACGATCGAATTGATAAACGATCCGAGACAAAAGACGAATACTCGCAGGCCAAGTGTTGCACGCCGTTTTATAATCGGAATAATTTCGTCGTTAGTTATCGCCGGAACAATTGAAACGGGATTGAAAAGGAAAATTAGGAGGGAACCTAACGTAACGGAACAATAATCGTACAACGTGAGTATAATTGATAATTAGCACAGTTAAGTTTTGTAATACGATGATCAATAAATAGCGATGCGATGGTTTTCTATTAAATAATAATTTAATTTTAAATTATATCTGGGTCTCATTTTACATGGTATTTTTTTTTTTTTTTTTCGAAGTGTTTCATTCGTAGTTACTTTTACGGTGAAACGATACGATTAAAAATTAATTCTCGTGCACAAATTATGGCAAAATATATGTGCATATGTATCAGATTTTAACATCAAAATGATATTAATTAACGATATTAAAAAGTAATGTTAACCGTGGTTAATGAAGAAGAGTACTACTTCTGATTGTATAGAAAATTTTTTCAAAATTGTTTCATTCTGCAAATGCAAGTTTAATTGATGAAGGACTACAATCATAATCGGATATAGTTAGGACATTGCTTCGTTGCAAATGATCTTAATGTTGAACGACCTGCGTAATTTTAAAGTAATTTGTCGTAATTTAAAAACTGCTACGAACAAAAGCTACTAAAAGAAAGATAAATAATGAAATGATTCCAGTAGAAAGAAAACGAATTCATTGTATGATGAAAGTGAATAAAAGATGAATAAAATCCGGATTTATTCGAAAGATATTAATTTTTAAAATAGTGACTTTTCTCTCGCGCGTGTAAAACGAGACCCATGTGCAACTAAACAAAACACAATAATTCTATAATAACATAAGTCGCTACGTTGTCAAAACTCGTTTTTGTCGAGGATTTTCAAAATAACGCGCGGGTGTCCAATACACTGTCGATTGTTGCACAGGCCTCGTGAAACTCGCGTGGATTTTCGGTGAATCTATTCCAGTTTTGTTCGTTCTGTCCATAATTTCTACATTTTTCTCGTTATCTGACCTTGATATTTTGATGTGCAATTTCGGACTTTCACCTTTGACCATCTGGAACCATAAAAAAAGAAAAAGAAAATTAAAAAGAAACTAATGAAACTCGAATTTTTAATCCGTAAAATATTCAATACTCGTGCAGAATTATCACTGTCAAACCTTCTTACCTTTATTTGCACCCTTCTGTTGTCAACGTTGACCACTTTCGACTCGGCCTCGTCCTCATCCTCGATATAATCACTTCCGGTGGTATACGCAGGAACAGAAATTCTCTCGAATTTTCTTTTCCGCTGTCCGTAGCTATCGCCTCTGTGTTTGTCCTCTTCTTTCGGCAATTGTATCACTATGGTGTAAGGGTGGTTTTCCACGCGCCCGTTGAAATCGTCTCCGGCGGAACCGTATCTGAAATTCGCCAATTTGATTCGCTCTAACGATTCGGCTAACGAAGCAAATTTTAATTACGAGTTATAATAAGCCTTGCCGGCTCGTCGACCGTACAGCGAATATATCAGCGGCCGAGCTTTCGATCCAATTACCAAAAACCGGATGTTTCGAGGGTCGACACACTCGATCTTGAATTAAATTAAAAGCGACCGATGAACATCAAAATTTCCCCGCTTCTTCTCTATGTTGCTCTATACTGCACGCGAGCTGGCTGCAATAAATCTGCGTCCACCGACAAATTAAATTTTACGAACCGGTAAAGGCAATGTTTCTTATCGACGTCAGGATTTACGATTTTCTACTACGTTGTCGTTTGAAACGGGGACAATTAATCTGAATAGCAGAAAATTTCTCACGGATTAATCTCCAATTTCTATGTTAATTTTCAAACTGTGTCTTTCTTGTATTCTTGTCAGGAATTTAGGTCTCATTTGTCGAAATATTGCACGATCTTCTTTTATCATTTACTCATCTTAGATTCGTTTCATCAGACTATCGGTCGATGATTTATTGTGTCTAAATCCCCAAGATTGACCACTATCATTCTACACTCTAATTCTTAGACAAATATTTCGCACACTCGCAAAAAGAAAAAAGAAAAAAGACTCGTTTTATCAGAATTGTCGACAATTGCGTCTAAATTTCTAAGATGGATCACTATCATTCTACACTCTAATTCTTAGACAAATGTAAATATTTCGCACACTCGCAAAAATAAAAAAGAAAAAAGATTCGTTTTATCAGAATTGTCGACAATTGCGTCTAAATCCCCAAGATTGACCACTATCATTCTACACTCTAATTCTTAGACAAATATTTCGCACACTCGCAAAAAGAAAAAAGAAAAAAGACTCGTTTTATCAGAATTGTCGACAATTGCGTCTAAATTTCCAAGATTAATCACTATCATTCTACAATCTAATTCTTAGACAAATGTAAATATTTCGCACACTCGCAAAAATAAAAAAGGAAAAAGATTCGTTTTATCAGAATTGTCGACAATTGCGTCTAAATTCCCAAGATTGATCACTATCATTCTACACTCTAATTCTTACACCTGCTTAGAAAAATGTGAATATTTCGGGCGTACGAAGTAGACACATTCGCAAAGGAAAATAAAAAAAGAATTCGTTTTCCTATCAGCTATTTAAAAGTGATTAAAGCGTGCAATTTCTCCACAAATGAGGAAGAAATCTGCCTCGAATACATCAGGAGGGACTAATGTATAACAATTACATCAATTGTCGAATTTTTCTATTTGAAACAATCTTCATGTCGGAGAGAATTTAGTACTCGGTTCTGTATAACACTACCTGTTATAACTTGGCCTTCGTGAATAATGGTCTTCCGGCGATATCCTCTTAGAATGGTACAACTTCGATGATTTGTGATCTGCGTGCCATCGTGGCCGCGACCACGGCCTACGTTGATAGTATTTGTACGGTCTGATTAGTTTGTAACCGTTCCCCGTTTCAATGATCTCGAACAGCAGCACGAGAAGTCCAACTAGAAAACAGCACTGGCGAAGCAATAAATTATTGATGGTGCACGATCCCAGAAATAATCTTTGCATCTTTGTCTACGTTTCAATTTAGAATACTAATTTGATGATCGTAAAATTTATATTATACAGGATTTCATTCGTGTAATCATTTCAAACTGTCATTTTCTAGAATGCTGTTCAGAAGAAATGCGAGAGAAATGATTCGACACATTTGTCGTTTTATATATAAATTCATTATACGGTTATTGGAAATGTGATGAAACAGAGATGGAACCTGGAATCGATAATTGTTTTACGTATCAAATATTATAGGAAGTACCGTTTATTGGATATTTTATTGAATTTTTCGTATCGCGTTTATGTATGTACCATGTTTCACAAAATTTCCTATAAATGCATAAAAATTCGCAGACAGGGAATTATTGTTTTACATATCAAATATTATTATACGCAAAGTACTTTGTTCTTTGGATATTTTATTTCATCGCATTGTGTACAATTTCACACATTAAAGTTTCCTACGAATGCATGAAAATTCGCAGTTTACTGATAACCATTTACTGATAACCATTGCAACAAGTCTGTGTGTACTATCATTTCCCAATATTGTTAATGTAGTAAATATTACAAAAAGCATGCTTTTTAGATATTTTATAGATTTTCTCGTACATTGTGTACAATATCATGCATTAAAATTTTCTATAAATGAACAAAAATTCGCAGTTATATTGATGAGTATATGATCGATAAAAAAATTGTTTCCCATGTCAAACATTATTATCTTTGGATATTTTACTTTATCACATATTTATATGTACATTTTTAACGCGTTGAAATTTCCCACAAAAATCTTCCCATAAAAATCTTACTGACGACTATTCGCGATTCGTGTGTCTATCCTTTTTTCGCCAATCCAAATAGTATCGCCTGACAGACCAAACTGCGTTTCGAGATATCGAGTCGTTCGGTTACGATGAATTTCACGTTGATGGAATATCGATGATCTTTGACGTTTCTACCAATTTCGAAAATCAAACAGTGCAGGGACAATGCGTTAGGATAAACATCGACGGTGCGGCTATCGGTACGAAGAGATATTGTTCCATTACGCTCCAAAGACGTGTTACTGGGTTGAATGGACGACGAGACAGAGACATGCACGTTACGTATCTATCACGTGTTCGTGATTAAACGTATTGTCAGTTTGTCGTGAGAATGACAGGCACAGAATTAGAAATAGAAAATAGGAGTTTCTAACATTTCTAGACATACCCATAGACAGGAAATTCGAAATAACAATTGGTTGAATTATCTAGACTTGAATTATCTTCGATTTTCGAAAATTTCTTTGAAGTTTATATTAATATTTATTATTCAATATTATTTAACTACTTGATATTTAATTATTTCTTTAATATTTACATCAATGTTACTTAATTATTTAATATTTACATCATCGTTTAACGTTTAAAAATACAAATATAATTAAGTATAACATATGGTGTAATTGTTGTTGAAAATGTTGCTTGTATTGACACTTTGATGTAGTATAATTAAGTATGAGGCAGCGGATGTAGTGTAATCAATCCTCAGAGAACAAATCTGTTTTCAACATCGTACTCGAAATTGACGACATTTCAGATACCTCAGGCAAAGCAACGATTTCTCCCGCTCGTTTTTGTTCTCCTGTGCGTATTCCATTTTCGTATGAATAGCAACTTTGCAACATCTATATGAATACAATTGTAAAAGCTTTAATTTCACCTCTTTGACACGGGACAAAAGTGAATAGCTCTGCACGAAATAAAAGAAGACACGTGCACGGTATGAATTAGATATTTCTATTCACACGATGATAGAAAAGTAAATGAAAAGCGAGGATGCAACAGATACATGTAGGAATTTTAACCTAAAAGAATAGTTTTCCACGGTGAGAAGAATTTGTATAAAATCTGATATTATTCGAGCGCGAATGTACGCGATTTTTTATTAAGAAATGTTTCGCTAAAAAAAAATAAAAAAGTAAAAACAGAAGAAAGATCGATCGAATCTAATCAAAATCCAATCAATATCGGAACAATGCGTTGTTTGCAACATCGACATTGTGCACACCGCTTGAAACACTATAAGGAAGAAACTCCATTTAAAAAATTAATCAACGCTTCGTGGCTCAATGCTCCATGAACTTTTACGAAAAAAAAAAAAAGAAAAAAGAAATTTACGATACGATATACTCACTTGTGCAAATGTGTTCATCTCAAAGTTCAGTGACAAATTCTCGAACGATCCTGTCTTATGAATAAACGTTCCTGTGTTTAAACTGGCGTAGCACGTGATGACGAAAGTCAGTGTACTTGCACTTGGCCACTCTCGAGCGAATCCGAGCGATTTGTTCGCTACGATCGGAGAGAACGGACGCAAATAGCGAGTTGAAGCGTCGTTTCACGCATTTCTGCACGCAACGACAAATCGTCGACGATTTCCTTCACGATGATGCACGTCCACCGCGCAACTCGAAAGTTCTCATCCGCGGTACTTTCTCTTATATTTCTCCCTACTACTACCACGCGTCGTGTTCTCGGCTAGGCGAGAGAAAATTTTGATCCTGACTTCCTTTCCACTTTGTCTTTTATCTGCACCAGATCTCGGGCAACGCGTTAACGAACCGCGATGACAGATACGTTTCGCCATCGTGCATTGCGTTGTCGCGTTCTCACTTCGTTCATTCACGTGGAACCTCGACGAAAAGAATCTATTTTCTATCGTACCAGGCCAATGTTTTCTATTTTGCTCCCATTTTTTTTTTCCTTTTCAATCTTTTAACCTTTTGTCTTCTCTGCTTATTATTTACAATGTGTTACTGTTACTGTCGTGTACTTTTCAGTTTTTTTTTTTTTTTTTTTTTTTTTTGTCTTCATCGAACAAATCAAACACTTTCGTTTCTTTTAACCACTCGCCCTGGCAACTGATTGCGGACCATGACGAGTGACCAACACCGTATACAATAATTCGTCGCTTTCCTTTTGACCTCGTCGGTATGATATCTCTACCTATGGATAGAAATTATTGAGAGGTAATTTAGCAAATTTATTATTTGTTTCGCCCGGGTTATACTTAAATATACTTAAAGCTGAGAAAATATTGCAATTTTTGGAACAAAAAGCTCCCCGACGTGTGTGGCACGTCATTTCAACGCAAGAGGTTAACCACTTGCGCTGGCAATTGATTGCGGACCATAACGAGTGACCAACACCGTACACAACAATTCGTCGCTTTCCTTCTGAACTCGTTGGTATGATATCTCTACCTATGGATAGAAATTATTGAGAAGTAATAAATTTATTATTTGTTTCGCCTGGATTATACTTAAATATACTTGAAACTGAGAAAATATTGCAATTTTTGGAATAAAAAGTTCCTCGACGTGCGTGGCACGTCATTTCAACGCAAGAGGTTAACCACTTGCGCTGGCAACCGATTGCGGACCATAACGAGTGACCAACACCGTACATAATAATTCGTTGCTTCCTTTTTGACCTCGTCGGTACGATATCACTGGATATAAATTATTGAGAAGTAACAAATTTATTATTTGTTTTGCCCAGGTTATACTTAAATATACTTAAAACTGAGAAAATATTGCAATTTTTGGAACAAAAAATTCTCGATGTGCGTGGCACGTCATTCCAGCGCAAGAGGTTAAAATTCATTTCGGCGACGAAGGTATAGTTTTCGTGAAAATCCAGTTGGCTGGAATAAAGCTCGAGGAAAACGAAATATATTTCGATGGTTTCTTCGCGTTTTTATGATGAGTCATTATGCAGAATTTTCCATTGTCGTCCGGCGTCCATTGTCCATTCTACTCTGCCGCCGCGGAATTCACCATTCGCTATTCCATTCTGTGCTCGCATTGTCGCGAAGGATCCTATTGTCAACAATTTTCAATTGTCTCGATGCCTCCTCTTGCACTTTACTAAATATTTCCTGGCACAAACATATTTCCTCCTCGCGTTCGTTTTTTTTTTTTTTTTTTTTTTCAAGTTTCGCCACAGTAAAAAACTTTACAACTCGTACGGTGTCTCTGTTTTCAGAAAAGATCGGTGACGCATTTCGAAAATAATTCTCTGCAAAGTGTATTAATTGAATTGATGAATCGTGCTTGCATCGGTCAGAGGAACGAATGTAAATTCGATATTTTCAATTATACGTCATTGTCGATGATTTATTTACAGGGGGGGGGGGAGAATATTTTACTGCTTTTTGCTACGTAACAGCTCAACGACAATAAAACAGTTTTCACTGTATCGAGGGTGACTTTTCGTGATTTTTCAATTTTCGTTTCAGAAAACAACTCTGACTATATTTTCTTCTTTGCTGAATAATGATGAACGTGATGATTCTGAGAGGATATTGAATATATTAAATTAAACGCATTACATTTAATCAAATTAGTGGCCACATCTGCGCTTTGACGTGAATTAACGTGAACATGCTTAATACTTTGATAATGAATTTTGATAGTGAATTCTCTTTACACCGACAGTTTGTAATTCACGCTAATGTGTGAGATTAACACGCGATTTGAACCGAGCTAACGATTAACGTATTTCTTCCGAAAGTATTGATCGTTCTGATATGTAATACGCATGTGGAAGAACCAAACTCACACGAGGCATCGCCGAACACGTATGTAAATTATATGCCTGGAAGAAGATTCGTTTCTGCGTTTTACGATTAACTATACTTTGACACACGTTCCGTATTTGTCAAAGTGATGACACAACGCATTTGAACAATGTTAATTTGATTCGGCGCAGAGTCAATATCTCCGTATGTATGACAAATTTGATTAAATCAGGGCAAACAATTGTGTGTCACAATTGGCACACAATTAAATGAAACAAATTGAACACAATCACATATGTACGTGCAATTAATCATCTTCAATCCTTTCATTTCGATATCTTCCAATTTCTTTCTTTTTTTTTTTTTTTAAATTCTTTATTTCAACAAACTCACGAATGTTCTAATTTCGTAATCAAACGATTCATCTGGCTTCACGCGGAAAGCGAAAGTTTCTACTTCCACAGTTCTCGATTCGTTTTTTTCACAAAAACCGTTTTCACATTACGTAACGAGGATTTTTGTGGAAAGTTTCTTTTTCCCCGGAAAATTCTATAAATTCGAACGTCTTTCAAAACATTGAGAATGACTGAATTCTCCATGTATCGTGAAGATTGAAGCTTTCTTCTTACGACGACCTTCTAAAACACTTGCTGTACGATTTCACGAGTTATTGAACTTTGAATATATATTTATTCGACGAAATCTCAGAATTTCTTGAATTTTTATCGTTTGACTTTGACATCGAAAGTTCAATAATTCTGCGCGAAAAATTCGAGGGTTATTGTAAACGGTGGACTTGAAATTCAGCGGTGAATTCAACCGAGAAAAAGAATTCTTCGTTAATTTAAGAAACATTTGAATATTTTCGAGTGAGAACAGTGTCTTTCTGCACATGATATAAAAGTGTTTTTGTGAAAAATCAATCCAAGATTGTGAAACTAAAGACCTCGCACGTTAGTATTAATTCTTCGTACACTGAAAATTAGGTGCACATAAGAAAAGTGCCTCGTAATTCTTAAATTAAAATAAAATTTAACTTTCCTATCTCGCGGAAACATATAATAGCACTTTATATTTAGTAGGTTTCTACGTAATAGTTATATTCTGGAAGATTGTAGGTTTCTCCAAATATTTTAAAATATTTTCGAATATACAATATATGGTTTGATAATGAAAAAGAATATACGTATCGTCTTAAGAAAAACATGTCCGGTGTGTTGGAACAGATTTGAAACAGGATGAGGCTAAACCGGATGTCGACCGAGCTGAAATCACTCGTCACTGTCACACGTGCACACACCTCATTTCCGGGGTCCGGCACCGCCTCCGCCATTTTACGAAGGTCGACTTTAATACCGAGGAACTGCACGGATAATAAAAGGATCAGCGAGAACTGGGACGTCGCCGGTGCCAAAAAGTTTGATGGTTTGGAGAGAATTAAAGATACCATATCGCATTGACGATTAAATCCAAAAACACCGGGCTAACGCTAACAGTAATCCCGAGAGTTTTACATCTAATGTAATCATTCTGTAATCCTACAAATAATTTACTGTTAATTTATCAATAATTATTATCAATTATTAATCTCGTTATATCTATTATTAACTATTATATTAATACTTAAATTAGTAATGTATTAATAATTATATTATTATTCTAAAAAAAACTCTCGCTTAAAAGCTATTCTCTCTTTATGAAATCAACTTCGAATCTAATCGAATCTAATCGCCAGGGATTAATTTCCCCGTAATTGATCTCGGTTTCTTAATAATTTTAATTTCATTTTTATCTCTTTTATCTCTGTTCTTTTTGATTTCAAGAGATCAATAAGCAAACAAATAAATTACAATTACCAAAGTTTCTAATTAGTGGACTGGATCGTTGCTAAATTTTAAGTTTCGAAAGAAAGAAAAAGTGCAGAATGATGGGAGGAGAATAAGAGAAACGAAGAAAAAGAAGAGATTCGGAAAAATCTCAGAGGCAAGGTGGACAGAAGAGAAAAAGGAAGTGACTAGAGCGCGAGGGAAAATTGTCTGTTAAAAATGGGCCGGTTTATCACAAAGAATCTAATTTAACGCACGGAATGATTTTAAGACCACGTGAAAAGTAAATGCATAAAAAGATTACCTGCCTGTGAAAGAGACAGTGAATAAGAACAACTAAAAAGATATGAACACACGTACACTTATATTCGTGCATGCAATAACGTATAAATATATATAAATATATCTGTTGACCGCTAAACTTGCCACGAATTTCTCTCGCGTGATCGAAGTAATTCTTAATTAAATTGGATACACAACCACCGTAATACACGTTGGAAGTTTCAGGCGCCGCGTTGTTACATTGTTGAGATAATGAGTTTTTGAAAGTGAAAATTGATTGCTCAACCACACTGAGTGCGAAGGATTTTCTACCGGTGTAGAGATGCCATTCGGTTGGAAAATTCGACCTTCTCACCAGTCGTCGTTTTTCTTAAATTTAGGCACTCGTGCGAGTGTAAAAAAAAAGTACTCTTACGGGAGCAATTATCGAAAGAAGATGAGAAAGTAGCAACTCAGGGAGTTTGTTTTACATGTTTTTATTTAACCACGTGTAAGGTTTCGAGAGAGACAACTACAATAATTCAGATCGTTACTCACAAGGTACGTTACATACAGCTGTGCGCACCGGTATAAAATATGAGGGATGATATGTGCCATTTAATTTGTAAACGCAAACCGACAGAAAGGTGTGAACGCTGGTTAACGATTTGTGAAAGCATGGCATAGGTAGAGTGTTAACAAACACTTTTATTCCTTGCGTGATCGTTCCTATAATTTATTTTTTTTCTTTTGTCTGCGATGATATTAAGTTGTTCCACTTTCGTCAAATTTCTCACTCGTATACTAAGTTAACAAAGGAAAACTTTCGACTATTTTCCGACATTTATTCTCCTTCTTAAACGTCAACAAGTGAAATAAAAGAAAGAAAAAAAAATATAAAATACAAGAAGATAATTGTTTCTACTAAATCACATTGTAAGGAATTTCAACATTCACAATGGATCATTGTGAACTATTGTCGAGAAAGTCCTACGTTTTATAAATAAAAATACAATTAGTATTCGGTGAAACGACAATGACGATAAATACCTAACGTTGATTTCGAGAATATGATCACGAGAATTTGTAGAAACGTGGAAAAATGATAGAGAACGTTATAGAACACTGTGTATTGACACTGCGGTATAAAAAGCGGTATAAATACTCGTATAAATAATTGTACTATTAAAGCTTTGGAGGAAGCATATCTGTGTCTTTCGACGCTTCGAATCAAAGTTGGTTACGGGATAGAGATTTCTATTTAGGTGATTTATATAAATACCATTTAAAATGGATATGCACAGAATCACAGCAAGATGAATATCTGATAAAAAAAAAGAAAAAAGAAAGAAAAAGAAAAATTGAATTGGAGATTGAACAAACTTTTTTTTTTTTTCTTTAAATAAGTATAACGTATCTGAAGATGTTATAGACGGAAAGTGTGACGATAAAAGTTTCAGACAGCATAAAAGTAATGTTTTATTATTCCATTCGCATCGTCTTACTGCGGTTCTGCCTGTGCACGATTTATGGTAAATTCAGCTCTTTGCACTTGCGGTATGTTGATGACGATCCAACACCTTGTCCCATAGTGACACAAACGCGACAACGTATTGCATACGTGACGCGAAGCATGACGGATATAACGATAATAAATCACACACTCGGTGCCCCGTGTTCTCGTACAACGTTTATCATGTATTACGCGAGGACTCGAGTTTTAATACTTAAACCGTTTCGGAAACTGTGTGTTACAGGCACTCAATCTCGTCACAGTTTTTTAAATTATTATATTATCCGAGGGAAACGAGAAAACCCGAAGGCAAATATCGGTATAAAGAGAATTTTGATTGGAGGAATTTTAATACTTTATAAAAACACAGTCGTGTTGATTCTAACAATTCGATTATAAATGAATTGAAGCAATCGACAAAATGCAAGGGCATCAGACTGGTCTCTGAAATTTCTCATTCGTTAGATCTTAGAAGATCTAAAAAAAATTTTGAGGACAAATATTGATACAAAAAGAATTTTGGTTGAAGAAATGTTAACATTTCGTAAAAATACAAATATTAATTTTCATATTAATTCTAACAATTCGATTAAAGCAGTCGACAAAGTGCAAGGGTATCAGACTTGTCTCTAAAATTTCTTATTCGTTAGATGAAATTGTTTCGTGCGAGGAACAATTTTCTTACTTTACAGTTGTCTAATTTTCGTAAGTTCTAATTAACGTTTGGAAAATTTAATTTTTCCTGTTAATTATACTGATATTGTTTCTTGAGTTCGTTATCTCCTCAAGTCGTAGAAAGAATCAGAGTATGAGATCGATATAATGGCGGAATTTGCTTCTTTCTGTCTACCACGCGGAAAGTTTTCGAAAAATCTTTTTTATCCGATGATTTCGAACGTTGAAACTTTTTTACGTATACATACAGCTCAGCTATAATTCAAATTACTTTTTTAGAAGCGACTTTTAGTTAGAAAATCATTTATATCTTTGAATGCCGAAATCTGTCGTCGCAGGATAACTGCATTCATCGATCATTTGTTGTTAATAATTAAAAGAAGGAAATTGTCCGAAAGTCGTTGAAAATAAAACATTAACTTTCATTGCCTCGTGTATAATACATACGACTCTTAAACGAATATGAAACTTAACGAGTTATTTATAAGTTCCAGAATTAACTTTTATACACCTACATTGAATATACAAAACGCACTATACAGAGTAGTCTGTAAAAGTTTCCGGCTGGACAGGTTTTCCACTTTATGTTCCAAAAGCGATGTGCAAACGAAAATTTTGATTATTAGCGAACATAAGAAAATACCAAATCTCTAGCATCTTATAAAAATAGTCAATAATGATATGATATAAAGTAAAGTAATGATATAATATAAATATAAAGTAAAAAACTTGTCTGAAGGTTTACACGTCACCATTCGTTTCGCGATAATAAATAGCGCGCAACTTTCCTTTCCGTTCGAATTTCTTTCGAAGGAAATTCTACTACGGCCGCGCAGTAGCTTTATTTCGCACGAAACGAATTTACATTTGAGAAAAGTAGAAAGGTCGCTGCCGCAACAGGATCGAGCAGCGGTAACACAAACGTGCCATTACGTTTCTTTCTTTAGCAGTCCTAGAGGATATATTTCGCAGTCTGTCTGGAGAGATTTGTTGTTGCATCGGGAATATATCTTGTGTTGTCTACCGTAAAGTCTAGTACTACGCGCTCGTTTCTTGCGGCTCGGTGCAGTCGGTCGGCTTCACCTCGAGCCACCAGTCGTTAGGGTAGTGATATTTTTGCAATTCGATGCCTTCCCTGGGAACAGGTATTAATCTACCACCGAACTGCTTAGCCGGTAACGGAGGGATTACGAGCTGCGGTGGGAAACATTGCAGACTCGGGGAAAACTCGCAGTCCGGGGGCAGCACTCTTCTTGTCCAGCCGACTCTTCTTACCATTTGCGTCTGAAAACAGAACGTAGGTCAAGCAACGTAGTTTCTTGTTTAATTTTTCACGCTGAAACAGCTAGCTAGTGGATCAACTCTTCTTTAAATAAATAAAATAACTCTGACCGAGCTTGCGACATTGCTGGCTGCCAGAGAAACAATATTTGATATGTTGGAATAAAAAAGCGTTCTAAGCGGCTCTTGATGCTCTAGATTCTTAAGAAGTCATATCTGACAATTTTAAAAGGATGTCCAACGCTCTACTGTTAAAAACAGCGCCAGGCAACGACCATCAATGTCCAAATTATACAATATGTAAACCGGTTGTCGTAAATTGTAAAGGTGATCTTTGTAGTATTTGAAATTTATAACTCATGACATAGAGTATTGCGGCATGCTTAAATGTTTCACGACCCTACAACCATTTACAAATAGTAAATTTATATAATTTTATATAGTTTTACGGTCAGAGCTTCGTTTATCCGAACATTGAGTCTCGTTATCTTCTTATTTAAATAACAAAAGGCAATAGATAAAGACGACAGAGTCAATTACAAAATCGTAGCTCTAAATTATAATATTTGAAGTTCTACTGTACAAATATTTAACGCTACTTCTAACAAAAAAGTTTTCGATCAAACGCAAGTATTTGGAAATGAACTTTCAAAACAGTAAAGTCTGTCGTATTTATAAATAAAAATTTTCTTTTCTTACTTTAAACAAATGCGATAACGATATTTCATATTTCGAAGGTTTTGAACGTTTTCAAATATCTTTGAATATTTTTGAATTTGTGCAATTCGATCGACAACTTTTTGTCAGGGATAACAGTGGCTCCTTTCTCTACAAATTATAGTAAATGTCATTTCGTCCTAAGCGTACTAGTTACAAGCTTGGTAATTAAACTGACCACAGCGTCCTTTTCGAAGACGACGACCTCCACTTTGGGCGCATCCTCGCCGACCTCGTGCTCCTGGATTCGATAAACGCCAGCGGCGTGCAGGTATGTGGCGCTGAGACCAACTTCGCGGAACGCTTTCGTGATTAGAACGTCGTCTCTGAGCGTGTCGACCAGGCAAAGCTCGACCTTACGTGCCCACGGCAGGGCACGGCCGATCCGAACTTGACCCCAGAGCCCTCCGAGGCACAGAAAGTGCACGATGCCCAGTTTCGCTAGCACCAGGTGAACCCTGGCCGAGTCACACAACAGACAGAATAAGTTGAACGTACTCGAATTGTCTGGGTGAAATTCGTCACGAGAGAAAACACGACGAGTGAAAGTTTCACCTCGGTCACGAAAGACGACGACGAATTTGACGGTTCGTCGTGTTCGTGATTGAAGTGAACTTTCGATAATTACGGCGCCCGGCTCGATTTGACTCGTGCAGTCGGCTGTGAATTCGCGAATAACTGCTGGAGAAATTGTGGAATTATTCGAGCATTATAGACGCACAGGGAACATTGTAAAATTGATATACAATAGAATGACGCGTGGTGTAAATAACAAAAACGCTGGGATTTGTCAGACCTTACCAGCGAATTACAAATAAAATGTAAAATATGAATGCAAAGAAAGGATTAATTACGATCGAAAGTGAACAAAGGATCATTTTATTCACTAATTAAATAATTATAGGGTGGCCATTGAAAAACTGAAGGATTTAATAAAGTCCCGTATTTGTGAGTAGAAAGACGATGGTCATTTAAGGGATGTTTTCCACACATAATACTGAAAAAAATCCATTAATTATACTTCCAAATAAAATAATAAAAAAATTTTAAAAACATGTGTTTGTAAAAGTTATTTTTGTTTTACATTATTTAGTCTTTCAGTGACCACCCCTGTACAACAAAAGAGAAAGAAACGTTCATGCAACGTTCAGATCTTCTCAGAGTCTGCTCGTAAAACGCAGGGTTGTAATGGCTGACTACTGGTAAGCGTAGTAAGTAGAATAAGACTGTAGAAGAGAGCGTAGCAAACCGCGCGAAAGGGGAACCCGGCCGGCACGGTCAGACGCGAACTTATCAACAGTCAACAACTTTAGTAGAAACTGAACCGGTATATTGGCAACCTGTAGGCAAGCTCGTGCAATTTCTCTGTGAATTCCTCGGGCACGCTGCACGGTTGCCGCGGCGCCTCTTGCCGACTGAGGCTGTACCAGAACAGCACGATCATCAGGAACAACGCCGCCAACGCTCGCAGCGGAGTGATGCGGAATCGTCTGCGTGACCAGAAGCTCATGCTGGTAACCTTGAACACAATGGAGCGTCGTTGTCAGCTCGAGCGTTCGTCGTCGGAATCGACGATCCTCGATTATTAAAACCAGCACACTTGTTCATCCATCGAGATCAACCATCGAGATGGGGCGGTCTTTCGATCGGACAGAGAGAGATAGGTAGATAGAGAGAGAAAGAGAGAGACGAAAGTTTCCTAACACTCGGCGTGCTGCCGCAGCGTGACGACTGGTCATTGCGTAATTACGAGAACCGCGACGTCACGGGGTCTACGCGAAACGACGCGTTGAATCGCGACGCGAAACGTAGTCATGGCCCCACGTGCGTTCACTGGGCCCCTCCTTGGAGAAAATTCACCTTCTCGCGACGCTGCTCTTTTTTTTCTCACCACTTTGGTTTCGCGCACATCACACCGTCACCGAATATTTGCGATTCGGACCGTAACTAACCCCCACTAACCCGCGGTTGTTCTTGTTACTGGCGGAACACTGGCTAGAACCGGCAACGTCGCAGCCAATCGATTTTTCTACCTTACCGACACTGGCAGCTGCTGATCAGTGGTGCCGTGCGTGGACCGATTGGTCAACCCCTTTCGCGGTGGTGAAATGTTCCCCCCCCCCCTCCCCGCCCTCCTCCTCGCCTGTTTCCCCACCGCTAGCCGCGACTGGAATTTCGATCTATTATCCACTCGACGCGGGGAAAAGTAGAGTACGAAAATAAATGCACCGGGACGTGCTCGCCCCGGTTTCTTTCACGGGAGGAGGAGAAGAAGAAGTTTATCATTTTGATGGGTGGCTCGTCGAGGAATCTAAGTTAACCGACGCGGGAAAGGGAAACGCGGCGAACGGCCGGAGACTTTTGCGGCGTTGCGGTTCGCACGTGACTCCACCAGAAATAGTTTTTCGCCTCCTGGAATCTTAACGGATCGACGCCGGCCAGATTTCCGTGTTTCCTTTTTCATTTTGTCCCCCCCCCCCCCCCCCATTCGTACAATTTTTGATATTCCTTGTTCTAGTTCCTCGTTGTAAATTCATCGATCGCTCCCTCGATTCAAAACTATTCGAGTCGATTTTTAAAACAAACGAGCCCTGCCTCACGACGACGGGAGAAAAGAAAAACTGCACGAGACTGCATGTTGAAACGTTGAATTGACACGGGACATTATGTCGAAATTTTAATTGGCATCTCAGTATCTCAACAATTTCCTGCAACGCGCATTGTTGCGTTTTATAAATGGCTGACAGTCGCCGTGGGGTCAAGCACGTCCGACCAGAAGCGGGTAAGGATTAATACGCGATATTACGCGGGGATCGCGAAATACCAGACAGATCAAGCAGAACGAAACGAGACTTCGCATGTGGCGAAGTTTCAGATGAAAAGTTCGCTGGATGGAAGCTATTAAAACGCGGATGCATGGAATTGGTGGTGCATTACGTGTGCGCGATTCTTGCTCATCGGGATACCGTTACGAAGATAAACGTCGATTTATCGGAATATTTGCCCCTGCTTGTCCGTCATAAAGAGCGATGCATTCTTTTTCAACCGCGTAAGTGCGTCTCCGCATTTTCACTCCGCCTTTTTTTCCCCCTCGTCGTCGCGTCCTTCTCTGTAAGAAACTCAAATTCCTCGCTTCAGTCCGAACGATAAAAATAAACACGCAACATCGTAATTTACCGGAAAACTCGAAACTACGGGTTAATTGTTTCGCCAGGCGTTCGAAGGGCATCTTCGAAAAGATGTTCCCTCATTGACAGCCGCGTGCGGAGGGCGCGTACCATTTAGGGATGACTAGCGTGCGCAAATTCGTCAACGCGGGGACAGAGTTTAAAAATAAGACGTAGCCTCGGAAATGTGGCCGCGCTATTGGCATTTCTGCTCATTAAGATAATTGAGTGGGCTCAAGGCCTCGCCGCGATAACTCATTCAGAAACGTGGCTTTCCCTCGGAAGAAGTAAATACAAAGAGAACGAAACTGCTACATGTTCGCTAAATGAGTTCCACGAGTAACAAAACTTCGTTGGATAATTCATCGTTATTCCTGTCACGCGTTTGTTACGGACTATGAGAAAAAAAAAAAAAAAAGAAAGAAGAACGAACCTGGCTTTAAGTATTGTTTTAATAACTCGCAAGGAGTTATCACTAGTAGAAAAATGTTGCAGAGACAAGAATGAAAATCTCACTCGATCTTCCTTACTTGTTACTATAAATATCTTTCATCTCGACTATCATTATGAACAAACGCACATTGAATAATATATTTATAAACGAGAGTATATCGCGATTATAACGTCTGATTATATGCGCTTTTGTCGCAATACCAAAACATCGATCAATCGCAAGTTTAATTAATTTCAAACGAGACGAAAGTATTGATTCTGCTTCTAAGCTCGATCTCGAATGAAATCCAGAGTCATTAATCTCCGCGGGAAACAAAGAAATGAATACCAGCTGCATGTTCTTTGCGCGAGGCGTTAGCAATTACAAAGATCGATTTCACTCGAGCTTAATCGTTCGCGAGACCTGCTCTGTTTCACGAACGAAGGTATTTTATTCCCTCGCGCTTTGTTGAAACCGTTATTATTAATTTACGTTTCCCCGGAACCAGGAACCCTCTGTTCACCGAATTGGTGAGCACGCGGAGAGCGGAGAGCGGACGTGGAAAAGAAAAATTGCGGCGAATGTCGTGGAACTAAGGCGGGACCGTAAAACAAACGTTTCGACGAGATGCGCTTTTCTCTCCTTCTAATTTTATCTCTTCGCCGCCTCCCTCCTTTCCTCTTGGCCGTGTATTTTCGTAACACGTGTCACCTACGTATAGGCACCTTATCCCCGTGGTTAACGAACACATGAGTGTACTTGGCGATCTTTCCAAACACGTGTACGAGCTCATCCCTCTTGTTTTCGCTTCTAATGCTTCGATTGTACGCCTCTCTCAAAGGCGAGCTCGCGCCTCGTCACGAAACATCGTCAAGCGTTTAGGAAATTACTCGAAAATTCGATTTTGCTGGGCTTGCCTTGCAATTTTTACAATACTTTTAAACAGTTTTGGAGCATTTTAGAATGCTTTGAAGGGAAAATGCTTTTCTTCGAAATTGTAAAAATTCGAGAAACGTTTTCTTTGAAAAGTTTAGGGAAATTAAAAACTTTCCTAACTCTCGCCTAACTAGATCTCGACGATTGAAGTCACCCTCTGATGAAAACGAATCTTTAAAATTTGTTCTTTAAAAACGATTCTTTTTCATTGAATATTAGGGTTAAACAAAAATTTAAGAAATCCTAATCACAAGTCGTTATATTCAAAGTTCAATAAAATGGTGGGGATTGTTGCAAAGAGAAAATTTTCTTCTCCAAGGCCACGGCGAATCAGTAACGAACAAAATTTTTTAATATCTTCACTCGCGGATTTCAAATTTCTATAATTTCCGGGAAACAGGCAGAGGCTTCACGTTTCGAAACAAGGTGACGACCTTTCTGTACAATGTCATACATCAGTTGAAAAATTATCGACAGTTCTTCATTGTCTCACGTACAATTATGCCGTCCGGTGTAGAAACAACGCAAGACAAGACTAGTTTTATTTCATAGATACAAGCTCCGCCGAGTTAATGATCCCTATCCTGTCCATCGTCGAGATGTAGAAGAAGAAGAAGAAGAAGAAGCACTGGTAGTAAAAGAAGAAGAAGAAAGGAAAAGAAAACGAAATGCAGCGGAGACTCGCATTCGGAATCGTGAAAGGTTCATACGTGTCGATTGATTGGCGCATTCCGTTTTAAACGTTCTGGCGTTTCCTCTCGCGCCGCTAATCGTCGCTTCGATTTCCTCCGGCGACATAACAGCCGGCCATGTTTTTCCCTGATAATGAACTGCAGTAATCCCAGGCTGCTGCCGTCGAGTGGCTCGCTCTTTGACTCCTGCCGACCGGCTTCTACAACGTTAGAAAAGTTGGTTTTTCGCCAACGATGCAAAGTACGAAGTGAAATCGCGATCTTTGAACGCAGGGGATGAAAGAAATCGTAAAGATAATTTCAACCGTTGAAAAAAGGAAAAAAGAAAAAAGAAACGATAAAGACAGAATTTCACTCAACGATGGTGCATAAATCATCGTGCACGTTCGCGAGGCGAATTATTAGGAGGACTGAAATTCGCTGGGATGTTTCGAATTTATCCTGTCCGATGGATTCGATAAATGCCTATCGGATACTGACGCCGTGGTAATTAACCCTTCGGCAGCGTGGACGTTTCGAACGTTTCGAAACGTTGTTATTCCACCGCAAGTCGTTTTACACGTCGTCGTGAGAACATTCCTCTCGTTCGTTTTACGAAAAGGTACCTCTATTGCATCGCATATTGATGCCTTTGCGAAGATCGAACTGACGATGTTTTCTCTGTATTTTATATCGTATATATTTTGAAATATTTTCAATGATCCTCTGGATCTTTCGTCCGAGTGCAGTGGAACTTGTTGGAGAACGAATGGTTTGTGCGATGCCATCCGGTGCTGCCAGGTCAGAAAGATTCTACACGGTGAGGAAAAAACAATTTAGAGTTCTCGAAAATTTGTTACACGTACTTGAATTTGACTGATTCTGGACTAAGGAGTAAATAATCAAGTAGAAGAACATAGTACAAAATGTTTCCATTTAAGTTCTCGCATTAAAAGAGACAGATGTTCAACGTATTCAATCAACAATTTGTTAGACGTTTAAATTTAAATTGGACGAATTTCGAGCATGATTTTCTCGAAAATGAAGCCCTAAAATTTTATTTCAGCTTATTTAATCCAGTTTGATTGCGTATAACGGAATAACGACACGCTGTATAGTTAGACTTCATATAATAATAATAGTCCACTGATTCTCTACTAGTGATTTTTGATCATGAGTAGATCGCAAAGTCCAGGTTCAAATAAATGGACAATAAATAAATCAACAAGAGTTAATTTAATCGGGCAAACTGATCAAAATTTCGAATAGACAGAGTTCTATTGCAGTGAAATTAGATGTCACTATCACGAAAACGCAATGCTCGCCTCACCTTTGGAGAAAGAATTCATCTAAATTACCACTCCTGAGATATTTCAAAACACTCAGCTAAGTTATATACTCGACACACGTTTCAACTCGTTCACACGTGGACGAACGTTCATAGTGAAATCGAACAGTGTCTAGGACAAGGGAGATCGAAAAAAAGACGAATAAGGTGACCGGCGCCACCTTGTTGGGTGATAAATCTATTACACAGGATAGGGGGTGTTTTAACGACACGGGTGTTGCCCCGTTTGACTCCAGTTGGCCATAAAATTCGGCTCTGGTTTAATGCGGAATAGGCGAACAGATTCTCAGGATGCCGAAATCGCGCAACGGCCCGCCGTTTTTACGAGCTGTAAACCTTTTCATCGCTATTGTGCCCCGCGACTTTCCAAAAGCTCGGTTTTCAAAAAGCACCGCCTTTTTCTCGTCCACGTTTGGCCACGGTTCGGACCTTTTGT